TTATTTAAACTCTGCCCTTTTTTTCCCAGTTATAATTCAACTGTTTTTTTAAATTTTATCTTATTAATTTTAATGAACATTTAATGGATTTCCGTTCTGTCATTGTTGCATTTTTCTCCCTGCCCACCCCTCCCACCTAGTTCGCTCTTTTCTTTGAAAAGTAAAAGAAAAATTCCTTCATTGGTATACAATTTCCCACCCCCTCAACCCGCCCCGAGTACACTCCACTATGCAATCTTCATTCTGAACTCTTGTTATAACCATAATACCCCATCACACATCGCTTTTAAACTGTGCCCTTTTTGTTCTGACCTGTGGTAGGTCGCTCCCAGTGACCCTATGAGGAGAAGCATAAGGGTTGCCTTGCGTTTCCTGGGCTGTGAGGTTCACTGACAGGAGCCTTGGGGGAGTGCATTAGGGTTGCTGATCAAAACAATGGCAGCAGCTTCTTAAGGGAAAGACAGGTCTTCTCCTCCTGCGAAGATATACAGCCTGGAACCTGAGAGAGGGTCTCCAGGAAATGACGTTGATACCTTTGCTCTGTTTTTGTAATCTTTATGGGTCTTTCCCCCATAGCGTTAGCTGGAAGTTTCCAACTACCAGGTTGTTGTTTTTTTTTAGTTAATGGCGAACTGCTTAACCACTGTGCTACCAGGTCTTCATGGAGCATAAAGCTGTTGTTATTGTTGTTGTGTACTACAATAAGCCTAACGAGTGAGCTTCATTCTCGATCTTCAGGCACCTGTGGTGTTGTCACACGGACAACATGTACAGCTGATTCTGACGCAGATTTAACCTGGAGCAGCGTCCTGTATGAGCACTAACCGGTCACTTTGATTTGAGTGTGTCCTCTTTTCAAAGTCCAAAAAACAATACCAGCATCGCCAAGGCAAGTGCCTGGCACTGCCCACTGGGGGACTCAGATAAGACGAGTGTGGCAGAGGCTTTGTCAACACAAGCACTGCCACAGTCCACAGTTGTGACCATAAAACGCTGATGCAACAGAAGCCTGTGGTCAGGTAGTGGGTTACTTCCTCCTTTGTGTTTTTGTGAAACAGTGAACAGAGCCAGTTTCACCAGGGTGTCAGTAAACACTCCTCTCTCTGTTTTCTTTTAGAACAATAAGTATCTTCTAAATGATAGGAGATTGTAAATTTGAAAGAAATCCATCATTAGCTTATTTTTCCAATTACTGGTTTTATAATAACCACTTAGAAAAATAAAGCATGTCAGAACGAGTTATTTGAAGTCATATTAAGAATTGTATATAAGACTTGATACTAATAAGCCCTGTTTTTTATTAGAAACTTCTCTTCATCTCTTTTTTCTGGTGGAAGTTGAGAATTTCAGACCCATCCCCAGAACTGAAGAAGCCCTGATGTGCAAATGGGTTAAGTATTGGGTTGTTAACTGAAAGGCAACAGGAAACCACAAGCTGCTCCGGGAAAGGGAAAATTTATATATATAAAAATTATATATACATATATATAAATTATATATATAAATTATATAGATATATATAAATTATATAGATATAATCTGATGCCTTTGAGCTGTGGTGCTGGAGAAGAGTATTGAGGGTACCATGGACTGCAACGAAAACAAACAGATTCATCCTGGAAAGGGTCAAACCAGGTGGCTCCTTGGAGGCAAGGATTCTGAGGCTCCGTCTAACATTCTTTGGACATGTTGTAAGGAGGGACGGGTTCTTGGAGAGGAACATCATGCTTGGGAGGGTGGAGGGACAGCGCGGGAGGGGAAGACCCTCTATGAGGTGGATTGATTCAGTGACTGGGGTAATCGAGATGGGTGTATCGGAGACAGTGCGATTGGCACAGGACAGTTTAGGGCTGTTGTACATATGGTCACTATGAGTCGCAAGCGACTCGAAGGTACACAACAACAACAACAAAATAACATATATATTTATATGTGTGTGTATATGGATATATATGCATACACATATATGTATATATATTGTTGTGTGTACCACCAAGTCAGAACAGACCACCTTGTAATGTGTGAAATATTCCTACAAAAATATTCCTCAGGTCAAGCTCCTGGTATTTAGTAGAATTTGATAGTGTCAGGACTGCGTAATTGCTGTTAGTTGTCATCAAATCTGCCCCTGTTTATTGTGACCTCTTGTATGACAGAATGGAGTATATGCTTACAGCTATACTATCTTCGTGACTGCTGATTTGCTCAAGTCCATTGATACAGCCGCTGCACATTTTGAGTCCCATCCAACCAGAAAATATTCTTTGTGATAAATAGTGCTTGCTTCACTGATTAATTTTTTCTTTTTTTATGCAGGTGCCCAAGCCTTTCTTTCTAGTTTGTCTTAGTCTGGAAGTTTCCTTGAAACTTATTGAAGGGGAACTTACTGACATTTGAAATGCTGATAGCACGACTCCAGTATCAGTATACAGCTATTGTTGTTAGGTGCCATCGAGGGGGCTGTGACTCATAGCAACCCTCCGGACAACAGATCAGAACAGAACTTTCTCTTATCCTGCACCGTCCTCACATCCATGCTCAAGTTCACTGTTACAGACACCATGTCCATCCATCTTGTTGAGGCTCTTCCTCTCTTTCTCTGACCTGTCCCAGGATGATACGATGTCTTTTCTCCAAGACTGACCCATCCTGACAACATGCCGAAAGTACGTAAGATAAGGTGTCACCATCCTTGGCTTTAAGAAACACCTATTTGTACTTCCTCTAAGACAGGTCTATTCTTCGCCCATGGACATTCAGTACTCTGGGCCAACACACAATTCAAAGGCATAGAGCACACTAAGAATTAATAATTGAGTACGGCCAGGAGGGTGCCAGGTTAGCTCAGAAACGCATCCCTAAAGCTGCTGAGTATTCCCAGCTGGCCTGGCTCGGGGCCTGGAAGTCCGTCCCCTCTGACTGGTCCAGGAGACTTATCTCCAGTCCTCAGCACGAGTGCCTCTGATGTGAGCCAGGCAGGAAGTATGACCTCACTCAGCCTCTCTGTCTCGCGTTACGAAAGCTGATTTTGAAAGAAAACAAGAGGGGTTACAGAACTGACTTTCCCAAGAACGACACCCTCTTCTATTCTTGGAAGCAGCCAGAGAACAAGAGACAGCTGGAGACAAAACAATTTTTCTCTGCAAAAAAGCTTGCAAGGCCCTGTTTGCTGGAATCTTAGGAGGAGACCACGGCTCTTCCCTTAGTCAGAGCCTCTGCACCTGTTGACGTTCTGACACTCCTTCAGGAGGAGGAACCACAAAGTCCTGGATTCGGCTGACTGTTGACTGCTGGGAGCTTACGTATCTGTAATTATCCTGTCTTTTCTCAATTGGAAAAAGAATCAGGGCTCACTTGGAAGGGAACATGACTGGACAAAGCATTTTTCAGAGCAAATCCGTTGCTTTGATAAAACTGGTAGATAGGGTCTGTTTCTTGGAAAGGGTTGAGTTGTAACTTACATCTTTTTTCAGTATTACTAACTCTTCATTAACTTGCAAAACTCTGCCTCTACTTCTGTAAGTATTTGTAAGCTGTAGGCATTAAGGTCTAGCCTTCTGCTTTCAATTTACCATTAAACTTCAGTAACTGGGGAGAACAAAAAGGAATAGTTTGGGATAGGAATATTCATATTGTATTGATTAATCAAAGGTTTAAAGGACAAGTCACAAACTATCATAGTGGTGTTGCAAAGAAATTAATTTTATGAATGGGCGCACTGATTTAGACATGCTTCAAGAATGCTAGAAAGTTCTCTGACTTCTGTGAAAGTGCTTATAAGCTGAATTTTATATTTGTCATCAAGTTTTAGGTTATTTTTGAACAATCAGTTTGGAGCTGTTGAAGTGATTTATTATGTTATAGCCACAAAAACCATTACCATGGTTTCTAAAAATGAGTGTAGAGGTCCTGAATCAGAAAAGAATTCATGTCAACCTTAGCAAGCTCTCAGGACAGCAGTATCTACAGGGTTTAATCATCAACAGAAAGTAGGTCTCTATTATGAACGGTAAGCAATCACTGTATACATACTTTGATATTTTGACATGTGTTTAATTTGAAATTAAGAAGGAAACTATATGTTCACGGAAACTGTGTTTTGAAATCTGCCCAGTGGAATCCTATTTTTAGGGCCTGGGTGCTCTTGCTGTTTAGGAATGAGTGTCCCCTGGTGGCACCTGTCAGCAGTTTGAGTTGTTGGGTAATGACAGACGCCAATCCTCAAGTAATGAGAAAAGCTTGGTAATGATACTTCTCTTGTGTTAGCGGATTACAGTGTAAATGTCTTTATGTTGAGGACACCTCTAGAACCAGTCACATTTCTCAGTTAGATTGCTCACTTATGTTTCATTTTGAAAATCAGCCTTTGTAAGGTTTGTTGTTGTTGTATGCTGGCAAATTGGAACTGACCCAGAGCTGACCCTCCAGTGGATTGTCAGAAGCAGACCATTTCGTTGGAGAAGATTACCTATCTTTCTCCCACAGAGCAGCTGGTGGATTTGAGACCCCTGCCTTTGGGTTGGCAGCACAACTCCTTACCACTAGGCCACCAGAAATCACATCCTTATTCAAAGGAAGAAGTGATGGTCCTAACGCATGGAAGAAAGGCCCGGGATCTGCTCGGGTCAAGATGTTCTGTGGTCTAGAAAGTTCCACGGGACAGTTCTGCTCTGCCACATGGGGTTGCCATGCCCTGAAATCAACTGGGCTTAGCCTAACAATAACAATAATATTTAAAGGAAAAGAGTGTTTAAGCTCACTGAGCGCAACAATGGAAGACAAAATGCAAACAAACGTCAGAGGCAAATAGAACTCCAGGGGCAGTTCTTTAATCCTTCCTGCCTTCAGCTCTCCGTCTCTACATTATTCCGGCAAGCCAGTCTGACTTTGGTGTGGTTAGTACGTGCCATCTGTTTTGGCTTCATTTTTCTATTTTTGATCCACCTTTTTTCATGTCTTTTGCAGAAAATCTGTGAATTTGAACAAGCGGCCTTCTCAACATGTACCGAATATCTCAGCTGATGTCAACACCAGTAGCAAGTCAACGTAGGAGACTGTGATGCACAATTATCTTCTGAACGATTAGACTCCTTTTAGCAATTTCCTCGCTTTGATTTTGCTGATAGTCAGACCATTAACCATCTGTCAGGAGCTTGTGCTTCTTAAATGCCAGTGTACACTTTGGCAATGATTTTGATTTCATTTCTTTCCTTGAGAGAAATGTGGTATTTTTTTTTCCTTTTAGTAGGAAAAAAACCCCCCCACATCCCTTTTTTTAGATGCCTGTGCATAAATATGAAAGGAGATTGTTTATCAGCTACTATTAAGATGCAAAACTGCCTATCTATAAAAAAGTACTGAATGATTTTGATAGCTGCTTGCAAAAAAAAAAAAAATAAGGGTGTTGTTAAAATGGCAGTGTTTTAAATTTCTTCCTTCCTCTTGTTATTTTTCTCTCAAAACCCTACTTCTAACCCTCCCTCGTACACCCACAATTTCCTCTTCACAGATCAGCTGCCCAATCTGAAAGTCTAAATTCTTTTCTTTGTCTTAGCCGCCAATGTTCAGCAATGCAATCAGGTTTCACCCAGCCTGTTAGGAGTATTGGCGCTGTCACTGTGTGTTATGAAATTCTACTTTCGAGTTTAGAATAATAATTAATTGCAACCTTGTACGACTGAACTTTGTTGGCATGCCTTTAGTTAAACTAGGGTGAATGAATGGGGGTTCTTGTTTTATTTTTTTTTAATTAAGAATATTCACCGGCTACATACACTGAAAAATAATTTCTTGTATCCTTTTCTAAGTTTCCCTTCAATGTCTCCTGTTCATTATTTCACAATGGAAATGCTCAGAAATGCACTAATGAAGAAGGCGCGGGGTAGACCATTGAAGTCTTCAAATTACTGACTGAGCTGAAATAACCAACACATTCTGTCATTTATTTTGGATCCCCACAGCGTCACATAGCATGTTTTCTTCCTCATTTTCGTGAACTCAGTTTGATGCTAATGAGTTATTATTACTTCAGCCCACACTCAGTAAAGATCCCCCGAGAGGGGTGAAATCGGTGGGTAGGAGCACGAGACACATGCCTCTAGCTCCTTCCCTGCTCTTAGTGAGGCCCAGTGACCAGTTGGTTGGTATTGATTCATGGAAGGGTGACTGGATTTGAGGTCTTTCTGGTGAGCCTGGACCCCCAGTCTGAACCCCCTTTTTTGTATGCCACACCATGTAGGATCATCTGCAAAGTTGTGACGTTTTTCTCCATCTCTCCCATTTACTCGGCAGGTTCCCCTGCATTGGAGAGAGAACATACTGGACAGCTTTCACCATCACGCATTTTCCCAAGGTACCCATGGGACTTTCCCAGGAAAAGTTGTTCAAATTCTCCTCCCGTGTGTCTTATTTACTACAATCCAGTATGAAAAAATAATCTTATTTTTAGTGATCCATCTTTTTTCCAATGGCCATATATTTTCCCGTCTCATGCACATAGAAAATGAAAACTTCCTTGACCTAGCATTGAGAATGCTTGTGTGTGTGTGTGTGTGTGTGTGTGTGTGTGTGTGTGTGTATGTGCTGTACAAATAAATGAATTGTTTGATGAGTGCAGAGACTATCAAATACTGATGTATGCTTACTTTTTATTTAACTGATGTTCCTTTAAATGTGCTTTTTTTTCCAGAATAATAGGATTATTCTAAACTAATTCGCACGTGAAACTAAATGTTCCATTTAAACCTGTAGAGTCTTCCATTGTGCTCAAGTTTAGTGTTTAAAACTGTCAAGTGTCTTTTCCTTTCTTCTTTTCTATTTGTCTTTTACTTCTGATGGAAGCATTCGTTGATTCCCCCTTAGCATTCTGGGAAATATGTGGAAGCAATAGTTAATTTCTCCCTTAGCATTCTGGGAAATAAGTAGAAGCATTAGTTGATTCCCCCTTGGCATTCTGGGAAATATGCGATAGAGGAAGGGATTGTGTATTGCTGTTAACTCTCTCTGTAAATTCTAGACCTTCAGCTATTCTCAGTTGAATCAGCCAGAGATAAACAGACACACAGTGAGAAGAGTACAGGTTTTAGCATCAGATTAATGTTCAAATCTTCGCTCTGCCACTTGCCAGCTCTGTAAAATAGCCAAGTTGTTTTCCCTTCTGCATCTCATCTCCTGCTTCTTTTTCCTACTCTGCCATGAAAGTGGTTATATTTAGTTCCCAGGGAAGTTTAGGAAACTTAAAGAGTAAAGCATTAGACTGGGCCCATAGTAAATTTATAATAAATTATGTCAGTTTAAATATCTCCCTACTTGGGTGCATCTATTAACTATGCATGGCCTTTAAAAAAAGTATCAGAAATTCAATACCACGTGGAGAGGCAAAATAAAGGAGAAATATTTTATAAGATCTTACTGCATGAATTACTGTTTTCTTTGTTTATTTGAGTGAAGGTTTAAAAATTACATTGTTTCTTCACACAATAATTAATAGACTTTGTTGTATAACTCCAATTACCACTGATTAATGTGATTAATATTTACAATATCCAATCAACCCATACTAAATTTTTTTTTAAAAAAACCAACCACCAATGTTGTCTGTTCCTACAGAGACCATTATTTTGTTGCCACCTTGTGGAGTGTTCCCTCTAGTAATTTTTTAAGATCTCTCTAGGAGCTTCACAGGAAAGAAAAGATTGTTCTTTTTGGCACTTGAGGCATTTTCTGGAGTCTTGTGAGAGGCTGGATCACTGTAAACCACTTGGAAGAAATCTGCTAAAAAGAACCAAGTGTTAAAGGGAGCTTTGGGGGTCTAGTGGGTAAGCAGTTGCACTGCTAACTCAAAGGCACATAGTTCAAATCCACCAGCTGCTCTGTGGAGAAGGATGGGCAATCTCCTCCTATCAGATTCATAGACTCTGAAAGACCACTGGGAGTTGAGCCACGAGTCAGTTCTGACTCAACGGTACATAACAACTATAATAACAAAAACAGGGATGTTGAAAGAAGCCATGTTGGCACAGTGGTTAAATATTTGTCTGCTAACTGAAAGGTCAGCAGTTCAAACCCCCATATAACAAAGAGTGGCAGTCAGCTTCCGTGAAGAGTATAGAGCTGAGAACCCAGAGGGGCAGTTCTACTCAATTCAGTTCAGAATCAATTCAATGAAGAGTGATGGATGCATAACTGAAGATGAAAAAGATCTATAGATAATTGGATTGTCTGTTTAGAATATTAGGGTGCTCTGATGGCCTCTCTGAAGGGAGATATGCTGCTAAATCAAAGACCATGCCTCTCTGGGGATTCAAATCTACCAGTACCCCTGTGGGAGAAAGATAGGCAGCCTCCTCCTAAGTGAACGATTTATAACCTTGGAAACTCAGGGAAGGGTCAGTTATGAGTCAGTCCCAACTCAATGGCAATGAGTTATTATTTGTTAATGTTTAAAATATTTGAATTGTTGGAGAAGAAACACATTCCTAAGTAATATACTTTGTTCTATCTGTTGTTGAGAATATTCACAGTAGAACATACACCAATATCCAGCAACTTCTGCTCTTGTTCCAACGTTGGAAGAATGTTTCCACCTCATTCACCATCAGGAGAGGGGACGTCACCGTGAAAGCTTTAGAAAGAAAAGATACGGAAGCCTAGGGCTCTGCAGCTGCCTGTTGTTAAATACTAAGACCTCAGTAATTGGTAGCCAGGTAGAAATCCAAGTTCAGAACATTGTCCAGATGTAGTTCAAGCACTTAAATGCCCAGCACATTATAGTTTCATCTTTAATTCTTAGGGAGGCAAAATAATGCAAAAGGGGAAAAAAATACTAGGAGAAAAAAGGTGACATTTTCACTTCAACTTTCCCACTCATACTACGTGAGATTTTGAAAAATTAACCTATTATCCTGGAGAGTCAGGTTTCTCATACAAAGGGTCATTGTAGCTAGAATGTACCAGCACAGTGAGTCAGTCTGTATCTGGAAAGGATATCCTTCAGTGCCTTTCGAGTCTCACGTCTGACCTTGTACCTTCAATATCACCATCAGTGACTTGAAGTGACAACATGAAGACCCCATATAGAACACTGTGAATAACATCAAGATGTAAAGCGATTGAAAGTGCAGTCGAATATGGTCGTTATCTGGATTTCCCAAATTCCAAGGGCAGGGAGTGATGAGCTCCTTCAAATAGCATCCAGGAGACTGCACTTCCAGCACTTGGTCAATGACCTCATGCAGCTGTGTACCTCCTGTGAAGGGTGGCACTTGGTCTTTGTGGTAACCGTGATACTGGTTTGTGTGCTTGTCGTTATGATTCTCAAAGAAAACTAAACCTTGAGGAGGATAAATCGTTAACAAGCATTCAGACTAAGTAAGCCTCGTTCTCTCTAGAGGCAAAACCCTTGTTGCTAACCTGTATTGTATAAGCTATTTTTCTAAGGTAAAATTAGTGCACATGCTTGGCTTGAGAAGGTATGACTAAACACATATGGGGTTGCTTGGCGTCAGAATCAGCTCAGGAGCAAACGGGGTTTTGTGTGGATCTCTGGAAGTGTATGCTCTCAACCTTGTGCAATTAAATGGAATAAATGTCTTTAGAAGCTCTTTGAAAACACTAAGTTAAAAAGGCATGAGAGCTATTGTTAGTGAGATTGATTGATTGTCATGAAACCTCCCTAAGACTTCCAATATAGTCAGAAAGAAAATGTTTTTTAAAGACTAGCTTTCCATAGCCTGTCTGGTTATTTCTTTCAGCAACTAAGACTGAATTTATTTATGTACTAAACATCTATTAAGTACACAGTACCTGCCTTCCAGAAATGTATAGAGTAATTATGAAGGTAGGCACACATACACAACACAGAGCTAAATACAATGAGGTCTGTTAAGATTTAAAGTTTAGCATAAAAAATATTTTGTAAGAGATGAGAGGAGAAAAACCAAGCAATTTCACTCAAGGAAATCATTGATTCCTATCTGCAGCATGGCTCTGTAGTTGTTACTGTCATGTTTCTGCCAATCCCCATTTCAAAAGATCCTAACATTTCCAGAATACCTCCATAATTTTGGTAGCTTTCAGTCATATATTCATGACTAGTCCCTAAACATACAGATGTACCCAACTAACAACAAGAGGACTCTAGCTAGGGCATCACAGACGGTACTTGTCCAACCATTGAGGCAAGTGCAGAGAGGGAAAGCGGAAAGACCAATACAATCACTTCAGTGAACACTGACCATGAAGGTCATACACATCTGGTGGGTGCAACACTACACTATTGCTCTGTTTCTGTGATCAGGACTAAGGACTGACATTAGAAAGCCCTTCAAAGGAAAGGAAATGGAAGGCATCGTCCAGTCCCAGGCTCCCCCTAAGCCTGTCCTGCAATTGTCCTACCTCTGAAAAGCTGCTACTGTCAGGGTTTTAGGTCCATTATGTAGAGAAGAAAGTGAGCATCCGTACCATTTCCATCAAACTTTAAAACAGAAAGAAGCATCCACCCTCCTATAGGTTCGCTCACCTCCCAGGTGAAGAGATGAAGCCCAAAAGATTAAGACTGATGTTCCCTAAAAGTTTTGTTGTTTTTTTTATTGGGAAAAACATATTGGGGGTACAAGGAGGTGAGGGTTGGGGGCAGAAGGGTGAGGATGGGCCAGGATGCAGTTCCCTAAAAGTTTTTAAAGGAACCTAGGTGACCAGGTGTGTGAGAGCTTGTTTTTCTTGGCACTGCGGGATGGACATTGAAATTGTTTCCCTTCTTGCCTCTTTAGCTTTGCCTGTGATTTCCTCGATGGTGACAGTTCTTTTGAATGCTGCTCCATAGATCCCCTGACAGGTCCCCCCACGACCTGTCGTCGAAGTCCCAGGCTTCTCACCAATGGCTACTACATTTGGACAGAAGACAGCTTCCTCTGTGACCAAGATGGCAACATCACTCTGAGCCCATCACAGACCAGCGTTATATACAAGGAGAACTTGGTGAGGTAAGTAGGAGACATTTCAAAGCAACTTAAAACCTAACGCACTCATTATGTCTTCTTCTGATTAGTCAATCGTAAAGACATTGTTACTGTTCTTAAGTTCAGAAATAAAAAAGCTAGTAAAGGTTAAAGACAGGTACACTGTAAACAAAACTAAATAAACGCTACAGGTATAGAGATCAGTATCCGCACATAGAGCAGGAATTTTATGGCGGAGAATAAAAATGATGGGGTTTGTTTTAGTTTTATTAGATGTAAAACTCTCATTAAAATAGAAGGGAGAAGGAAAAGTCTGAGAGAAGGAACAAACTTAGGGTCCTGAGAGACCCTCATCCCATTTGGAGACTGGAAAATCATTTGACAGGGATACAACTTGGCGTGGGAAGGGAGTGGTAAGAGAAACTCAGCACAGAGAGGGACTGGATGCAGGGGCGGGCTCTTAACTGAGCTGTTTGAGCTTTATTCTGTAGGGGAAGGTGAGCTGTTAGGAAGGGAATGCTGAGCATGATGGGAAGGGTGGAATATTGGGAGTAGAAAGTACCAGACAGAGAATGCAGAAACTGAAACAAACAAACAAACAAACAAACAAACAAACAAACCAGTAGTAGCAACAAAGATTAAACAGTGGGGGTGGGGAAAATGAATGTAAGGGCCAGATAAGCCAGGTTGAACACTACCGCTCCTTATATTCATATTTTTCAGAATATGCTCACATTTGGAATGAGGGTATTTTTCCAGTATCACTACTTCAGCTATAATCATTGATCCATCGTTCTCTGAAACCTTCTGACATACATTACCATTCTCCACAATCTACTCTTTCCTCCTTCATCAGCCTCAGTGTTCTCCTATCCCTGTAACTTCAAATCCCAGTTCTTTCATGTCCCACATGAAGAACACAAGTTCCCCCTTCCCCCCATCCCCCTTTCCATCCTGTTTTCCTAGCATGACTCCGTATGGTGCCTCCTTGATCTTTAGATCGCTTTATGAACCTCAGAGCTTTATGAACCAGGAATCCTTCCTTGGTTCCCATGTAGTGATGCCAACTCTGTACTTCTTACAGCAGCCTTTATACTTCATGGTTTCAGATTTCCTGTCCTTTTACTGTACAGTGAGCAAGAGCAGAGACTCTGGAGCCAGGCTGCCTGAGGCTGCATCCAGGCTATGTCACTCACTAGTGTTATGGCTTCAGGCGAGTGATTTAAATCTTACTGTGACTCAAGTTTCCTCATTTGAAGACTGGAATATTAATAGTAACTACTGCATAGAGCTGTTCTAAAGACAATGTTCTTTAATATACAGAAAGAGGTCATAAAAATACCTGACACAGAATAAGCTCTCTGTAAACAACAGCAGATTGTAAAAATCAGCTGTCAAGGACCTCACCAGAATACTGAAGAGTAATGATGTCAGCTTGAAGACTAAGATACGCCTGATCTAAGCTGTGATCATCTCAATTGCTTGCTATGTATCTAAAAGTGGGACAATGACTAAGGATGACAGAAAAAAAATGATGCCTTTTAGTTATGTTAGTGGAGAAGAGTATTGATTATCCCATGGACTGCCAAGAAAACAAACAGGTCTCTCCTGGAAAAGGTGAAACCAGAGTGCTCTTTGGAGGCAGAGACGGTACAGCTCTGTTGCACGTTCATTGGACGTGTTGTTCAGAGGGGCCAGTCCTTGAAGTACCATATGCTTGGAAAGGTCAAGGTAAGAAAGGAAGAAACACAATAAGATGAACTGGCATGGTGGCAGTAGCAATGGGTCCAGAGATGGTTAGGATGGCTCAGGACAGGACAGGGTCCAGACCTGTCACTCACAGGCTCCTACGAGTTGCAGATGACTCAATGACACACAACAACAAGCAACAGCAGGAGTCCTCAGACAATGCATTTGCTGCTTATGGAAAAGGTGGTAGTTCAAATCCACCCAGAGGTACCTTGGAAGATAAGCCTGGCCTTTTACTTCCAAATAACCCCTTTGAGGCACAGTTCTCTCTAGTTCATCTGGTACCATGAGTCAGGACTTACTTGAGGATAACTGGCTTTTTGTTGTTTTCTATTAACTGTGAATTGGATTGGTTTCATTCTTGTTCTGCCCCCATCCTCAGTTGGGATGTCTTGTGCACCAAACATTGTCTTTAAGCTCGGTATCCTATCCTTGGCCCTAAGCCAACACCTGACACACAGCAGAAATCGGGGAAACTCTTATAGGATTATTGAGGTGGAGGAATGGAATGAGCTCCAGGGACCTGGGCCGTGTAGTTGGAGTCTGCACGTCAAAGCACTGGCATCATTCTCTTGTTTGGGACAGAGGTCCCTGCTGCTCAGTTTTCACCATACTCCCTTCATGTTTCTCCAGAATATTTCGGAGGAAAAGGAGGAGCTGTCGTTCCCTTTCCTCTCTCTTCAATCTTGGTGCCTCTGAGTCCTGGCTACGTGGCAGTATCTTTGGTGAGAATGATTCCTTCCTAAGTGAAGACACCTGGCTGGAGGGGCTCCGAAGGCTGGACACTGACCATTGCAGTGCAGAAGGTGAGCTCACCTCCCCTTGGTCACAGTGAAATGCCATTTGCAAAGGACTAGAGGCTACTGTTTGGTCTTGCTCGTAGCCAGCCACACTGAGTTGGTTCCCACTGAAAGCAGCCCCAGCTACGACAGAACCACCAGGAGCTATGCCTTGCCACAGTCTTTGCTGAATCTGAGCACATTGTCACGGCCCCTGAGTCAGTCCATCTTCCTGAAGCTTGTTTTTCCTTTTGCTGTTTTTCTCCAACAACGGTTGTTGTCATGTGCCATCGAGTTGGAACCAACTCAAAGCCAATCTTCAAGTCTGTTTTCAGAGGCTGTAAATCGTGTGAGAGGGGTCTTCCTCTATGTTTCTCCCTTGGAGCAGCTAGTAGATTGAAAAACACGTGTCTTTGGGTTGGCAGTGTAACTCACGCCCACTAGACCCCAAGAGCGCCTTTCTCTAAGAACTAGGCCCTCCTGGAACACGTTGAAAGTAAATGAGACCAAGTCTCATCAGCATCGCTCTTCTGCCCATGAAAGACTCAGAGGAGGTAATCATTTTGATAAGGAGGATGAACCATGTTTTCAAAGCCGCCCCGGCACAGGCCTTGAGCATCATGGGTGGCAAGGACACACACGAGCCATGTGCACAAGTAGCCTTGGCGTTCATTCACAAGAACCTAACTTAAAGTGCAATGACCGAATGGATAAAAGAACAGTTTTGTTTTCTCAATCAGTTACTGAGGAACCGGTTCGTAGGTCGTGAGTTCTCTGTCATGACAACTGTGCAGTGGGGTTCCGTGTCTTTATGAGAAGACATGGCATCATCTTTCCTTCTCTCAGCAGCTGGTGGGTTCCCACAGCTGACCTTCTCATTAGCGCCCCCAAACTCAGTGTTCAATGGCAGCTCAAATGCTCAAAACTCCTTGACATCCAGTAGGAACTGACTCACAGCTGACCCTCCAAGGGGTCATCAAGGATGAGTTGTGCGAGAGGAGATTGTCCGTCCTCCTCAGAGCGGCTGGTGGGTTTGAACCACCACAGAGGCACAGTGATGAGGTGAGCAGTGAGCCTCTCTACAGGATGTGAAGATTAGAGACTATCCACACGTCTCTAATGGGTCTTCTCTGCATGGGATTTCGGTAAATAAAAGGCACCAAAGTCAAAGTATCAGGTTTAAGACCCAGCTGGTTGCATAACTTATTGTGTGCTAGTCCTTGAACTGGTGGTGGTGGATGGTCATGGTGGACTACAAACCAAAAACTTGGTGGTTTGAATCCACCAGCTCCTCTGTAAGAGAAAAACAGTCCCTGCTGTTACATATCTACAGCCTCAGAATCCCAGTCATCGCGAGTCCTAGTCAACTCCTCAGCAGGGGGTGGGTGGGACTCCTGGACCTGCTAACGTCCTAGGTTAGGCACTGGCTTGTGAACAGGAAAGCCAACAGTTCAAACTCGCCAGCTTTCCTGTGGCAGAAAAAGGAAGCACTCTCTTCCTGTTAATATTTACAGCTGAAGAGTATGTATTTATTCAATATGACATTTCTTTTTTTAAAAAGCTCTTTGTTTAAAAATGAGGAAATTGAAATTAGTCACGTTAAGTCACTTAACTTAAGTCACAGTGTTTGGTAAAGCTCCCTGATTAAAACAAGCTTGGAAGCAAGAGTGGCATCCACTTCCACAATAGCTTGCCTCTGAAAATGCTATGAACCTGGAGAAAGGATGAAAGTTATACAGGAGGTGTCCAGGACTTTCATTCACAGGGTCACTATGAGTCGCCTGTGACTCGACGGCACTTAACAACAACAACAACAAGTCACTTTCACAGTGGGCTCCGACTGCAACTTGGATCTAAGTCCCAAGCTTGGAACCTCTGATCTTTCAGATTCTGCCACTCACTATTCCCTGTCTTGTCGTAACAAAGCGATTTCTGCCACAAGAGTTAAGAGTTGATCCTGACTTACATGCAGCAGCCCCATGCGGGCCAGGGCAGAGCTGTAGGGTCCTCAGCGGCTGATTCTTTGGAAATCAAAAGCTGGGACTTGCTTCCGAGTCATCTCTGAGTAGACTCAGTCTTCTGAACTTTCGCTTTGCAGCTGGGTGCACTGACTATCTGCTCCCCGTCATGACGCCTATATTTGGTACCAATGAAATACAGGCTCACTTCCACTGTATTTCTATTTTCACTCTTACTTTCTTTTTGGGTTACCTAAGCTGTCGACAGAACATTTCCTTTAGAGCAAACATCCAATTTGAAATGGTTTGAAACGACCATTTAATTATATTAAATGACCAGAGCAAATGGTTCAGGGATAAAAAGGATACTTGCTTGACTTCAGCTTGGAATCATTGTTCTAGAAGACAATTTTTCTCATGTTTGGGATTTAGTAGCCAGTTTTTCCATAGTTTCTTCTTCAGAATTTGTCCAAATAGTCTTAACACCAAAAGACCACAGCAGTACGGCACCAGCATGAGGTCTCTTGTTAAAATTCTCATGGCTTCTAAATGTCTTCTAAATATAACAAGTCAACCCCCTCCCAAATCAGCAATTACCCAACCGGGTGCACGCCGCGCTTTGAAACCTCACGTCCCTGCTGTCAAATGTAATCAAATCTTCCCTCAGACTTGTTTTCCACATTTACCCAAAGTCCCGTGACTTTTATCAGCAATTTCTTATTTTCCCCCTCTGAAAACGTCGCCTAGCCAGAAAACCAGAGAAGAATTCACAATTAAATCGTGTTGCTGTTTTCTCTCTGTGCAATGGACGCAATCAGAGCTTATAGCCCTGATTTTCTCTTGCTGTGTTTTTCAGAGGAAAAAGGACACATTTTTTGCCTGTTTCGTTTGTCCCCAGCTCACCCTCTCCGCAGCTGTGTTGGGCCACCTTTGCTCATTAGTGGCCTTTCATTCTGTAGGCATGACGTTTGCAGCTCCTCAGACCCCCGCACTGCAATCCAGGAAATGTTTCCACCGCCCCCAAGTCCTGCTGGAAAGGCCATGTCTTCCCCTCGTGCAGGCAGTGGGGACGCTGGATAGGTGTTCCCGCTCTGCATCTGCCCCTTGAGAGAACACAGGATGGCTTCACACAAGTCACCGAGCTGGAGGTCTACTATTTTCTCTAGAGCTCCTGTGACTTCCAGAAACACCTTTGATGGCAGCATCTGTGTGTGTACAAGGCTTTCCTCTGTAGCAACAATCTAATGCTCTTTTTATATGAGAATCTAGGGAAACATGCTGGAAAGAAATGGAATTTTCTTTCTTAAATAACATTTTGAGTTCCTTGGTGATGCAAAAGGTTAGCTAGCATGGTCCTAATTCAATGGTATGCAGCAACAACAACAAAAAAAAAATCAGCAGACCCTGAATAAAATCCCTATCTTCAAATATAACACTACTAGGATGCCTGATTCAGGCCATAAACTTTTCATTCATTTGCTATACATCTGAAGGTTGGACGATGAGTCAGGCTGACAGAAGGAGAATTGAGGCTTTGATGTATAGTGTTGGAGAAAAGTACTAAATATCCCAAATATCTCATGGACTGCCAAGAGAACAAACACATATTTCTTGAAGAAATGCAGCCAAGATTGCTCCTTGGAGACCAAGATGGTGAAGCTTTGCCTTACATCCTCTGGGTATGTTGTTAGGATAGGTCATTCCTTGGGAGAGGGACACCATGCGAAGAAAAGTGGAGCATCAACAAAAGAGAGGAAGACCCTCGACAAGAGGGATTGACACAGCAACTGCAGCAACTGGCTCAAGCGTGTCAGACATGAAGAAAACAGCACAGGACAGGATTCCCATCTATTGTTCATGGAGTTGCTGAGTTGTACTCCACTCAATGGCACCTAAAACCAGCAGGACTGTTTGCTCAAAGGCTTGTGGTCCTTTCATGTCTTGTTACCATTCAGTGAGTCATTGCTGTGGAGTCAGAAAGGACACAAAGCTGGCCTAGCAGGTTTCCAGAGGCTGCCTTTGTTCCTTCCACAGAGAAGCACAGGGGTTCAAACTGCCAGGTGTGGCCTTTCATGTGCAGCTTCCCTCCCTAGGGGCTATGACGCCAGAGTGGCCTCTGTTAAGGGTGGTTGCTGTCGTTGTTGACCCTCCAGCAGGTTTTCAGAGGCCGTGAACTGCTGGGAATAGATCGCCCATCTTTCTCCCTCTGAATGTCTGATGGCTGTTAATCACGTGTCTTTGAGCTGACAACCACAAGGACGCCAGAGCTCCCTCTGTTAAGGCTGTTGTTGTGGGGTCCATTCGACTCTGCACTGAGCCCTAGGTGACCCTCTCGTGGGTTTTCAGTGGCAATAAATCACAGGGGAGGTGACTGCTCATCCTTCTTCTGTGGGGCACCTGGTGGATTTGAATCGTGTGCCTTTGCGATTCCAGCATGTGAATTCAGAGCAAATCCTGTCTTTTCAGACATGGAAAACTCCTTTTTAAAAATCCTTTTTAAATCATTGTGTTTTTTTTTAATGTGAAACACCTTCTGTTTCTGTTTAATGCTTTCTCTTCCTTGTGAAAGTTGGGTGTAACATTTCCAACATTCCCCACAGGGTTAAAACTTCGCTTCATCCAGCTGTCAGTGGCTAGACTACGTATACATCCATCAGCAAGGCCTTGGGGGCAGCAACGGGCTGTTGTTACATTTGTCAATCTTGCCCACATGACCCCAAAGACTGGGCAGACGGCAGGAAGGGCCCAGCCTCCCGCACATGTGCTTTCATGTGACCATCTAGTCTCTTCCTTGATTGCAGGATCTCACTGTGGTATATGGTCCTTCCTGCCTGGTCTGCATCTTTCATCCTCTGCTGCTTCCTTTCTCCATGGCAACCAGCAGAGATGCTTCCACAAACTGTTCTGTTAAGTGGCTGCAAGCCGTGGGTGGGATGGTGGGAGGGAAGCCGCGGGGTTGGCAGGGATTCCCTGGTCCCAGAAGCCCAGCTAATTGGCTATGAACCCAGGCTGAGTGGGAGGGCAGCCAGCCCCTGAGAGTCAGCCCCTCAGCTGGCTCCAGAGGCTGTTATTGCTTGAAGCCTCAGGCTCAGATTAATGTTCCATACCACAGCCACTGCTGCCAACTTAATTTTGGCTCTTTGTGACTCCGTAGGGAAGATTTCAGCTACCCAATATGGTTTCTGAGACAGTAGATCTTTACGAGAGAAGAGTGCCTCATTTTTCTTGCTTGGGGTAGTTTCGTGGGTTGGAACTGCTGACCTTCTAGTTAGAAGTCACCTGCTTTATCCACGATGCTACTGGGCCTTCTTTAGCCTCCCATTGCTTCAGCGCTGTCTGTTTAACTTCCCTGCCTCTTCCCCCACTGGAACTCTTCTTTTATAGACCTATCTTATCTAATGCTAACCCTTGGGCACTGGCTGCTGGTGCATTGGACAAACGAGGTAGCCTTTATCCTGGGGAGGAGGGAGGGCAAAGGGAAGGGGTAGTGGGGAGGGGTTTACGACCTGTGACAAAGACAACTGCACAATAAGGAGTAGTGAAAACTACACATTCTATCCACACTCTCAGCCATTGAGTGGATTGGATTCCCACTTGTAGCGGCCCTATAAGGGTAGAAGTTCTCTCAAGGGGGTTCCAAGGCTGTGATGTTTATGAAACGACAGTGCTCTGCACTGTTCTTCAGGCAAACAACTGGTGGGTGTGACCGCCAGAGTAGATGTTTCCCCTGGGGCTTCTGAGGCTGTGATCTTGAAGAAGATTATGTTTGCAGCCACACACTAGACTGTGACACCAGGGTTCCTGCATGTTATATGTTGTAACGTGCCATCAAGTTAGAACCAACTCATGACCGGCCCCTCCAGCAGGCTTCCAGGGGCTCTAAAGTGCAGAGAGGTGGGTGCAGAGATGGTCCACCTTTCTCCGTTGTTCAACTCAGGGATTCAAACCACGCACCTTTAGGTTCACAGCACGACACTTTAGCACAAGACCACCAGAACTCCCCTGCATATCGTCGAGGGCAGATGTATAGGAATCATCCAAGCTGAATTAAGACCTGTCCTAGGGAGTCAGAGAGTGGTGTGTTTTGACAGGAGTGAGAGCCAGCAGGAAACACAGCCAGGTGCTCCCTGCGTGGAAGCACTCAGCCGGGCTGTCACAGACGCTCTCACGATCCAGACTGTAAACATGCCATCTCCGCTCCCTGTGACAGGCCTTCTCAGCCTCAACACTGTTAATGCTCCCACATTTCTGTGTGGGGAGTGGAGATCCTGGGCAGGAGAGGATGATGAAAAGTGTCCTGACTCATCTCTGCTCAGCAGATGCTGGTCACATCCCTTCTCCCTGAGTTATGCAAGGCAGGAATTCCCCCACCCCCACATCTCCTACAATCCCCAGAGGGCAATACTACCCCACCTGTCCCCAAGTTAAGGACCAGGACCCTGAAGATCTCTAGGTGTTCCACAGTCACAGTTCCTGGACTGTCACATTTTCCTCTGCTGAGTGAGCACAAAAGCGTGCAAATCTCACCTCATGACACTTGTGCTAATTTTTTTAATGGCTCCCAAGTTCCCATGGGATAAATCTTCATGTGACCCATAAGGTCCTCCATGATTTGATACTTTCTTAGCAATCCAGGCTTAATGGGCTCACGGCCAAGCTTTTATTTAGAAGTCTACCTAGAAGCACAGGAAGAAAGGCCTGGTGATCATCTGGGTTAATCAGTCACTGAACACCCAGGCGTCTCAGTGCTCCTCTGACCAACGGGGCTCCCCAAGCGCCTGAAGATAAATTAGTCAACAAACACACAGGGAGGCAGTGTTTCTCTGACCTGCAGGGGCTCCCCGTGAGTCTAATGAACTGTCGGGGGTGGACAATGTCCCTGAGGTCATCTCTGAGGTTCTCCCACGCTGGCCTGCTTCCTCCAAGCTTCTAGAACACTAGCTCAGGAGCCCACTCATGCTCCCTTCCAGCCTGTTTCTTCTCTGGCCTTTTCTCTTTCTCTGAAGAGCCTACATTCCTGCTAGTCTATCCAGAAGAACTCCCACTTTGCTTTGGTTTGCACTGCCTAAAAAAAATAGTGTGCATGTTGACGGCAAAACCGCATTAAAAATCTGGAGGGAGACATTCCCACCCCACCCCATCCCACCCCCCTCCCCGCCAGGTCCTTCACCATCAGTGATGTTCCACCTGCCTGTTCCATGGAGTGGCGGACAGCTTCTCATTAATTCCTTCTGTCTGCAGGGACTCAGTTCCAGAGCCGTGATTGTTTGGGGACCAAAATCCTAGTCTGTCCCTAAGAGGTTGCTAAACCACAGGCCTTCGGTTACTATGGCTTCTGAATGTCCTGTCTCACTCCTCAGAGCAGCTCCAGTGACAGCCCATGCTCAGAGTTCTGAGTTTCCATGGACTGGATGCTGGCATTATTGTTCACACTGCAATCCTTAAGGCACAGGGTTCAAATCCACCAGCTGCTCCGCAAAAGGAGGATGAAAAAACTCCTCTCATGTCATTAACTGCCTCTGAAAACCCATCAGAGGGTCAGCTATGGTCAGTTCCAACTCAACAGTACACAACAACAATGTATATTCATAAGGAAGCTCTGGTGGCCTGGGAGTTGTGTTGTCAACCTAACGCACGCACTTCAAATCCCCCATCTGCTCTGTGGGAGAAAGATGGTGATCTATTGTGCTATTTACTGCTTCTGAAAAACCCCTGGAGAGCGTCACTCTTATGTCACTCATATGTGGATAGACAGAAATAGAGATAGAGATATATACATAGATATATACCTAGGTATATACATAGATATAGACATAGACATAGATAAAGATGTAGATATATACATAGATGTAGATGTAAATATAGAGCGCATGTACACACACACACACACTAACACACGGACCTCTTGTGCTTCTCCAGGAGAGGGCTCTGACTGCTGCCTGGCAGGACCCGGGGTGTCAGAGGAGTCGAGTGCAGATGTACTGTGTCCCCCTTCTCCCAGCCGACTTCCCTCTGGGACACGCAGACGACTATCCCGGGACTCAGCTCTCCGGGCCCAGCTGACAGCATCTGAACATTTCCATGGGAACAGCTTGGACCCTTCAAGTGAGTTCACAGGCTTGCTTCCTTAATCTTTGTCTGATTCCAGAAATTCTTCCTTCCTAGGCCTGAGGATGACTGAGGGATGACTCTCGAATGTTCGGGAATGGAGGATAGCCTGTGCCCGGTGGGGACCCTGGGTCACCCCAACGCTCACTGCCACATTCACTGAGGTGGCCCCTGCCCTGGGAGCATGACCTCAGAGGGATCAAAGGCTGTATCTGTACTGTGAACGCACCTGAAGTTCTGAAGGAATGCTCCAGAATGTTAGCTCTGAGAAAGCTGAATTGTAGGAGCAGAAAACCTCCCAGCCCCACAGTTGACAACTCCAGGTAACCGCCCGGGAGATTCCTGAGGTTGGAATCTCACAGCTCAGTGGAGGCAAGGTTTCCATGTGTCCCTCATTCAGAGGTCACTATGAGTGTAGTGGACTCAACAGCCCGGATAATAACAATCTTTACGGGGGGCGACTATCTTCCTCCCAAGGGACAGTTAGTGGAATTGAACCACTGACCTTACAATTAGCAACGTAACTTCTACTTGCTAGCTTATTAAGTATACAGCTATTTCTTAGTCTATTCTTTACCCTTCATTGTGTCCCCAACATACTTCTAAATTTAAAAAAAAAAAAAAAAACCTCCTTTGATGCCATGCTCCGGAAATCCAAAAGATAAACAGGCCTTCTCTGGGGCAAATCTGAGACAAGGCGGAGCAGGACATTCCCTCACTGCAGCTTTGCCCTTGCCTGGTGCATCACTTTCTCCCACAGAGTCGTTGGTGGATTTGAACCAATGGCCTTCTGAGTAACAATCTAATGCGTAATCCATTGCACTACAAAGCTCTTGAAATCATAATAGGTACTAAGTCAAAGGTAACTGGAGGAAAATACATCTGTGGACAACTTGTCCAAGCAAATGCAACTTTTGCCTTTACCTGATTCCACTAGTCAATTCCTTTCTCGTAACCTTTGCAATTTTCCAAGTCAGACCTGCTCCATGAGGACAGGGTTTCCAAATTCCAAGTGGATCCTGGGGAGACCAAGAAGATGACATGGTTGGGAAGGATGGTTGAATGTTCAGTTGAACTTGTAATCTCTTCCTTCATTCTCCGTTGACATGGAAAGCTGTGTTTTTGTGGTAACATCATTCTGTATGCACTCAGTTGTAATTGCGTTTAGTTTGCATTGCCAGTCTCCAGGATGCCACTACATGATGAGTCAAGCTGGTTAACAGATCCAATCCTTGACAAATGAGATGACACATATTCCTAGAAGTTTTAGTCTAATTTTGTTGTTCCGAGATATAATCAGTGATGGTTTCAAATTAATTTGATTTTGTTTTTCCTATTAGAAACCAGCCTACTACAAGAAGTCTCTTTTCAAGTCATCGTCTTGGCTGCATGCTGCATCTTTTCTGTATGTGCAAGGTAACTCTGATCTGGCTCTCCTGCGGAGGTTACTCAAAGATTGAAGCAGCTAAAATCAGTTGATGAATTTTCTGTCTTATTCCACTTTGTCTCACAGAGCATCTGTGTCAAAGTTGATAATTGTATGTAATTCTCTTGGTTTAAAACATCAAGAGACTCCTTGTTACAGAGGCAGCTTGAAAGCCCTCCCTGAAGTTCAAGGACACGTGAAATCTCTGCTAGAGAACTTGAAGTCCCTACCAAGTAGTTGTTGTTATGTGGCATCAAGTTGAACTGACTCACAGCTGACCCTCCAGTGGCTTTTCAAAGGTTATAAATTGCATATGAAGTGATTGCCCATCTGTCTTCGGTAGAACAGCTAGAAGATTAGAATTGCTTGCCTTTGCATTCTGAAACTGAAGAGGCTCTGAAGCACTTGCTGCAGAAGATCAAGGACTGCAGCCTTCAATATGGAGTGAAGCTCAACATCAAGAAAACAAGGATTCCCTCTGCTGGGCCCATGGATGATGAAGTAATTGAGATTGTTAGCAGTTTTAGTTTGCTTGTCTCCACAATCAACACTCTTGATACCAGCAGTCAGGAAATCAAGAGATGAATTGCATTGGGAAAGTCGGCTGTCAGAGACCTCTCCAGAGTACTGACGAGCAACGACATCGGTCTGGAGACTAAGAGGCACCTGATCCAGATCATAGTCTTCACAATTGCTTGCTTTGTGTCAGATAGCTGTACAATGACTAGAGATGATAGAAAGAGAATTGATGCCTTTGAGCTGTGGTGCTGGAGAAGAGTGTTGAATATACCATGGACTACCAGGAGAACAAACAGGTTCATCCTAGAGAGGGTGAAGCCAGGCTGCTCGTTGGAGGCAAGAATTCTGAGGCTTTGTCCAACACATTTTTGGCATGTTGTAAGGGAGGATCAGTCCTTGGAGAGGGACATCATGCTTGCAAGGGTGGAGGGACAGAGAAAGAGAGGGAGAGCATAGATGAGAGGGATTGATTCAGTGACTAGGGTAATAAGGGTAGATGTGTCAGAGACAGTAAAGTTGGCACAGGGCAGAGCAGAGTTCAGAGTTCTTAGACATAGGATCACTATGAGTTACAAGTGACTTGACGGCACATAACAGCAACAACCACTTTTGCATTCACAGCACAACTCCTTACCAATAAGCCACTAGAGCTTCGACATAAAAGTAGAGGTTCAACAAACAAGAGGAAGACCCTCAATAAGATGGGTTGACACAGTGGCTGACCAATGGGCTTGAGCAGCAGAGTTTGTGAGGGTGGTCCCAGATGGCGCAGCATTTTCTTCTGTTACCTATAGGGTCATTGTGTTCTATTGCGTATAGAATCATTGTGTTCTACTCTGTACAGGGTTACAGAGCCCACTCCATGACACCTGACAAAAATGACCGAACCATTGTGGCAGGAAAGTTCACTCTGAATCCCAGAAAAAAAGACTTGGCATTCAACTGTGAAAACAGGCACTTTCTGTCTACGCCCTGCCTATGCCCTGTCTACTCCCTGTCTGTCAATGCCTTGTCTGTCTACTCTCTGTCTACTCTGTCTGTCTACCCCCTGTCTGTCTATCCCCTGACTGTCTACTCCCTGTCTAGCTGTCCTTCCCCTGCCTCCTTCCTAATCTTTCCTGTAGTAATCATGTTCCTCTTTGCTGAACCCACTTCTGCCTCAGGGCTTTTGCATCTGCTGTTCACACTGTCTTGTACAGTCTTCTCCACAGAGTCTCATAAAATGTGTCCTTCACTCTGCAGATTTTTTTTTAATTTTAGTTTTATTTATTATTTTTGTGTGAGTGTACCATCAAATCAGATCTGACTGGTACAGGAGGAGACTGCGCCTCCTTCCCCGGCAGAGCATCTGGTGGATTCGAACCGTACGCCTCTGGGATTGTAGTTGCAGCTCCTTAACACTAGGCCACCAGAGCTCCCCTGTAGATTTTTTTTTTAAATGAGACAGTAGTCGAGAGGCCTTCCCTAATTCTCATGGATAAAATGGCTTCCACTCTCAGTTGTACATACTGTGCTTGACTTAAGTACATCTCACCACCTGAGACAAGACCTGTTCACTTATTTAAATGTTAATGGTCTACCTCCTGCTACTAGAACGGGACTTGCCTGAGAGCAGAAGACTCCATGAGCGCCTTCACGTCTACATCCCAGGGCTGGCACTGAACTGATACTTTTGCAGAATCAATGAAACAGGGTAAATGGTCCCGAGGTCTCTGGGGTCATCATACCGTAGTTCTCAAGTGCTGCCCACGCTTAGTCGTGCTCATCTGGGTCAGCTGGCTTAAAACCACTTGAAAAAATTGTTTTTCAAAGATAAATTTTTTCAAAATACCAAGTGGTTTGTAAAATACACACACTCCTTGAGATTTTAATTTAGATCTAGTGAGAATCAGTATGTTTAAAACAAGCTTTCCAGATAATTATGAGGTTTGAGAAGTATTTTGAGATGACAATGGGACCAAAAGAACAAAAGGAGGAGGGGACACTTGGTTAAAAATAAATCTACAAAATTCCACACTGTCTATTCCAAATTGGAGGCTCATAACCATTTTTGGCATAATAAAAGCCCAGTGAAGTCATGTAGTGAAGAAACGTGTTTAGCTTTATTCCACATAGTGTGTCTCAAACTTAGTTGACCATGGAGTCTTTCCATAATTTCAAAGAACTTCTAACAAAGTACCTCCTATGTCAATCTACACAAAGGTTCTGCCCAAGGGAATAGAGATTAATTTCCTATTCTTTGAGTCTGAATGAACTTAACTGTGATTGTCTTCCCAAGGGTAGAGTGCAGAGAGGGGAAGAAAGTAACTTGCCAGCAGAGGTACGTGGAAAATGCTAGCTCAGCCAGGTGATCAAAGCAAAGGCATTTTGAAAACACACATTGAAAGTGTACTCATGATACATTAGGATGAGAAGGATGTTTTATTTTTTTGGGTTTTGTTCTCCCAAACTAATATCCCAAGTTTAGTAAAAAAGAAAACATCAGACAAAATCAAATTGAGGGACATTCTACCAAATATTTCTCTGATACTTCTCAACATGTCCAAGTTATCAAAAACAAAGAAACTGAGAAACCGTCACAGTGAAGAACGTTTGGAGATATGTCAACTGAGTGTGATGTGAGGGCCTGGATGGGATCCTGGGGCAATAAACAGACATTGGAGGGGGAAGATGAAACACAAATGCAGTGTTAGTTAACAGGAATGTTAAAAAGTTGACTTTTAGTGACAAAGATACCAGAGTCTCGCAAGATTTTAACATCAAGAGAACCTCAGAGTACCACCTCTGTTTTTGAAACTAAAATGACAATATACCCATTGAATGAACTTAGAACACTTACTGAAAATCAATGGACCAGAAATATAACAGTGTTTCTGACTCTTAGTCAAATGTCATTGATCTTTGCATCTATCTAGCTTCGTGCTAGCACCAACCATACCATAGTAATTATTGGCACTTAGTACTAAGTTTTGGAGCTGGAAAGTTTTTGAGCTCTACAACTTTGTTCTTTTCATATTGGGTGTGTTTTTCTTTGTTTGTTTGTTTTACTATTCTTGTACCTGTTTTGCATAAATATTTTTCATTTTTAATGTTGTTGTTGTTGTTGTTGTTGTTAGGTGCCATCAAGTCATTTGCGACTCATAGCGACTCTGTGTACAAGAGCCCTAAACACCGTTCTATCCTGTGCCAACCTCACCATCTCAAACACATTCATTCCCACCACTCCACTCACAGAATCGATCCATCTCATCGAGGGTCTTCCTCTCCTGTGCTCTCCCAAACATGTTGTTGTTATGTGCCCTCGAGTCGCTTGCGACTCATAGCGACCCTATGTACAACAGCCCTAAACTCTGCCTTGTGCCAACCGCACTGTCTCTGACACTCCCATCTGACTACCCTTGTCACTGACTCAATCCACCTCATAGAGGGCCTTCCCCTCCTGCGCTGTCCCTCCACCCTCCCCAGCATGATGTCCTTCTACAAGGACTGGTCTCTTCTTACAACATGTCCAAAGTATGTTAGATGGAGCCTCAGAATCCTTGCCTCCAAAAAAGCCACCCAGTTTAACCCTTTCCAGGATAAATCTGTTTGTTTTCCTAGCAGTCCATGGTACTCTCAATACTCTTCTCCAACACCACAGCTCAAAGGCATCAATTCTTCTTCTGTCCTCCTTGGTCATTGTCCAACTCTCTGATGCATAGCAAGTGATTGCAAAGACCATGGCCTGTATCAGATGTAAGACAGTAAAATTTTTTAAAAACCCAACCACAACCACAAATGTTCATCGATTGAAGATGGGTTAAATAAATTGAATGAGCCCATACAATGGGATTATGTACAGCTGTCAAGAAAGATAGAAATAGAGAAAGGTAGGGGTCGGGGGGAGAAGAGACTTCTTAGAGATGCATTATTCATGATAGTACACTTGGATGTAAATTTTTAATTCTATCCACGCCTCCTAGTGCATTGATACATGTTGTTGTTTCCAATATTGCAGGCTGTCCAGTCACCAGAGCTCCCTTGAAAAATGAGAATTGTGTTTTGCTTTTTAAATTGTGCATTTGGGTGGCTTGCGCTCTTTATGAACTGCATTTCAGATAGGCAGAGGCTTTGTGAAATGTTTGTTACCAGAAGCCAGTGTTGGTCTAGTAAGTGAGAAATGGTGCAGATAGACCTGTTGTGGTGTTTTCAGAGGAGTCTACATACATATCCACCTCCTGATGCTCCAAGAAGGTTGAACTTGACCCCAGAGCCTTAGAGTAACCTCTTTACTAATTTTCTTCTCACCACATTGTCCCCTTTGAGTCACATGCTGCCCGTGGTGATCTTTCTAAGACCTCATCAAGTCCGGCTTCTTAGCCAGGAACTTTCAGGTCGGCTTGTGCACCCTCACATCATCCCTCCTTCTCCAGGTCCAGCAATGTCAGACCAATTGCAATATCCCCTCTCCCCCACACCCAGTCATGCCTATTGAA